TATGTTTTCATGCACCACGTGATCCTTCTCCAGCCACTACTGATTTCCTTTCTTTGAGGCCCTGTAAGAGCAGTAGGGTTAGGTTCACTAACTGTTGAAGGGTCAGGTCACTGACATTCTAGCTGCTTTTTCATACTTGGTGACCTCCGGTTGCTGAGCCAGGTATATATAAGGCACACAACTCTTGGGCTCTACCTGCTAGTTACTTGAAAATTGAACTACTGCAATGATACTCCCAAAGCAAACTTTACTTTGGTTTGGCATGAGGTACAAGGCAATTCAGAAATTGGCTCTCTCTGAAAGTTCTCCTTTCCTTGTTATTTCCTTCCAAGAATGTTTAAAAAAAAAAAAAAAAAGAAAAAAGTCCTACAGGACTAACTTTATCAGAAACTCCTTTTTCTCAATTCTAACAGCTTCCCAAGGGAGTAGGAACCAGTGCTCACTAAACAAATGCACACACATAATTTCCCAGATCTGGTTGTGCTGGTTTGCCCCCCTTTGCCTTGAAATACAGCATTGAAAACCCATCCTCATTGCCAGTTTCAACAGACAACTATAGCAATTTAAAAAAAAAAAAACCAAACCCAAACAGGGTTCTGTAACAAAAGACAGAAATTGGCGGCAAATATTTAAATACATTTAAATACAGTCCAAATGGAAAAGAATATGAGCATAATATATAGTTTCAGGTCACCAAGTCCAAGAAACATACACTGCTTTGCTTGCAACAATGTGTGAACAAGATACTGTAGATGCACTTGTCCTTATGTGACAGTATGCCAGGAGATAAAGCACAGTAATTATAAAATTGAATTGGTTGGAAATAATCTAATCATCCCTAGTTAGTAAGTATAACAGATCTTATCAATCAACAGCACGAGTTCACATCAAAAAGTTAAATTACCTTCAACTATGGAAGATATTTTCCAATACAAACATTTAGAATACCCAAGACCAGCCAGCAATCTGTGATGTTTGTAGAAAAGCACTGTTCTGTGTCACTAGGCCACATTTAAGTTCAAACCAGAAGTTACTACTAAATATTTTAGCCTAATGGGCTGTATAATAAAGAAATGAAGGCCCCATAAATTATTACTTGCATAAAAAGCAATACTCCATGGCATCATCAGCTCCTATTATTTTTTCCTGTATTAAAAGATCATGAGCTGCAAACGCTCAGATGTAAACATCAGAGATAATGTAGTTTAAAAAAAATAAATCTGATTTCTATCCAAGAGGGCTGGATGTAGAGGACAAACCCTTCCTTCAGTTGTACCAGCCCTGGATGGGTTCATCTAAAACTCTGAGGGGCCAAAGGCAGAAGCTGGTTATTCTACCAAATTTTGGGGTTTCTTTTTGAAATGGATTCCGAAGTGACCTTGGCTCATACCATTTGCTTTATCTCCCAAGCAAATGAATCTGCCTTGTTTGAGGTCAAAATAAGAGATGACATAGTTTTATAGGTAAACGGGAAAAGGACAGTGGGTTACCCTGCATTTTACCAAAGGATTAAAAAGGATGCAAGCTCACCTCCCAGAGTTCATAGACTTCTTTTCTGAGGTCCTCTGATAGAAGCTGGCTCAGTTGTTGCATAGCTGCCTGGGGGAAAAAAAAGCCATTTCCATTTATGCATTTTTTGAGTAAGCACATTTTTATCATTATCTTTTTTGAAGAACTAGCTACTCATTACCAAGTTTGTAGAAACATATGCTACACAACATATTATTCTAATGTGCACAAGTACATAAATCTGGCAAAGAAACAGCTGAACTACTCAGTGGAGGATCTTTTCTGGGAGCTGCTTAAGTGACTTGTTAGAAAACAAGAAAAAAACAACCTGAAAGCGCATCCAATACCTTCAAGAGCCCAAAAAGAAGCCCAGAGCAAACCAGGCAATTCAAATGCCAGGGAACTGCCATCAATTACCAGCTCTGCCTTCCAGGTTTAACTAGTGGAGGCAACATTTGAACTGAATAGGTTACAGGTGCAGTTCATAAAAGCAGCTTCAAAATACCAACTCCTCGTGTAGACAAGAAACTGCCCCCTCTCAAACACGCAACTACCACATTTCCACTAGCAGGGCTGAGAACAGCTGCTGTCTGTCAGGCAGGCAACACAAAGTAAGTCTTTAAAAATCTCCAATTTTGAAAAAGAGAGAGAAAAAAAAAATCCATTTAATATTCCACAGCAATAAAATGCAGCGCTCCCAGACTGAGCTACCATTTGTTCAAGAACAACAGTCTCGGTACAAGGTTTAAGGCAGTATCAAACTGGTGGGATAAGCAGCAAGCAGAAATTGTTCTGCACACTCTCCCAACTGGCCAGTCGCACTTCTCTGCTATTTCTACCTTTTTCCAAGTAACACTAAGGAACAACCAACATCACAGGCAAGACAAAGGCTTTGTCCCATGACTGTTTCTTCACTTCAAACACAGGGGGTAGTTTCACAGCGCGACTGAACCGCATCAGCTGCTCCCCACCACTGAAGCATCAAGGTCTTATTCCTTCCCACTTCTTTCCGAGCTCTGGAGCTCACCAGATTTCAAGGTTAGCAAAATGACTTACCTGGCAACAAACACTTCAAAACAACTCCAACACACGCCCCCAAAAAAACCAATTTTTTTTTTTTTTTTTAAAAATCAAGTTGATTCTGTGCTTTAGCCTGGGCGAGACCAGCAGATTGACCTTAAGGCACAAGCAGCAAACTTGTGACATGAGCAAACAAGCAGAATCAGCCCAATGTCAGCTGTAGAGCAAAGGGAAAAAAAGGAGAACTCTGGAGCAGAAGCAGCATATTGACAGTTCAGCTCAAGCCACCTCATGAAACTGTTACCCTTGGTGTATTTTTACAACAAAGTATTTCAGAGTCAGCCTGAATGTTTAATGCTTGACCCTCTTTCCCACAAAGTCAATAGAAGTCCTCACTGAGGGAAATGGGAGCAGGAGGAGCTCCAAATACTTAAGAAAATTTCTTTAAGCATATCTAGGCATCAAAATATCTTTTTCACTGCCTAAATACAGATGAGAACTCCCTCTAGGCAAAGTTGAAGCCTGATCTTTGCTGACAAAAAAACACCTTGGGAAGCTTCCAGAAAAGAGGCGTTTTTTTGTTTGTTTCATGTAAGAACATAATAGAAAGTATATTGAAAAAAAAGGAAACATCAAAATTGCAGTCAGTAAAGATTCAAGATTGCTGAACACCCCTTTCATCTTTAATTTCCAGTTTCTTAGCTAAGGGTTTACTCCTAGACTTATTCATAGCCCCCACCCAACCCCAAGTTTTAAACAGATAAGCATAAAGGGGGGAGGTTGGGTTGGGTTTTGTTGGGTTTTTTTATTTTTTTACACTCTTTGAAGAGCTAATTGTAGCCTCTAAAGAGATTCCAAGGCATCACGTTGCCCTCTAGCTGTGACTGGAGGAGTGGCTTGCCTTTTCTTCAAGTAGCAGCAAACAAGACATGACAAACCAACAGTTCGGGTCTATACAAGGCCAAAATTAAAATAATTCTAGGCACGCTGCACTCAAAGATTCATGTTCCGTGCACCCGTGCCTGCAGGCCTGTGAAAATGTTTTAAATAAAGGGTCTGTCACAATCATATGATCTGGTACTGCACAAATGATCTGCCACAACCTGTCACCCACCCTTCTCAGTGCACCTACTGCCTGCTCCCCACCTCTCAGAAAGGCAGGTCAACATCACTAATTCAGGGTACCCAAAATCCAGCCAGTTCAGGAATAAGTGGCCACCACGAAGATTACTTCCAAAAATTTGTACTCTGTGATGTTACATGTACAAAAATCACAAGTTGAAAACTTTTGTTGTTCATGGCATGTTTGTCCAATGCCAATGACAGTATTGTGTTGCTTACAGGGTCCCTTCAGAGCCACCAGAACATTGAAAACATGCAGAACACACTTCACAGATGTGGCTTTGCACCTTATGTCCGTACCTCTTCTCTCCTGTGCTTCTCCTCTTTTGAGATATTATCTGCAGGAGCAATGTCTCCAACAATGCATTCAGCCATATCGTGAACCAAAGCTAATCGTATGCATCTGACAAGAAGCAAAGACAGAATAATTAGTTTTTCAGCATTCAAAGCTACATGTTGTTATTCATAAAGCTAAGAGACTGCGAAATTTATCCCCTTCGTGTATTTTACAGGGTTGGTGGGTTTTTTTTAATTTTACATAACATTTTTCACTTCTTTGCTAAGAGAAGTCGTTTCCACATAGACTCGATTTTAATTCCTGATTTCTAGCTACTGCTGCTTGTAAATGTAGATTCAAGTATAAATACAGTTTGTACATGAGCATAGCATTCAAAAATAACGCACTTAGCTTCTGCATGCTTGGCTTTCGGAGATGTTGTGATAACTAACTACATTACATGCTTCCCATTAACACTGCAACAGGTAGAAGGCAATCTGATTGGAGCCATCCCAAATTCAGGACATAATCTGACACTCACAGCTCTGTAGCCGTGCCAGTCTGCGGCAGAATACTCAAAAAAGCCTTCACTATCTTGATCAGCTCCTGAAGGGACAAAGCAAGCATGATCCCATACTAGACTCGACAACTCATTCAACACTAACGATGCTTTCACTTCTATGCTGTATGATTTCTGAGGCTCCTTACTGCTGCTGAGTGCTAACTCAGGCTGTCAAAACCCACACAGCGCATGGTTTTGCCTCTGCTGCCTGTTGCTTCAAACTGCATGAAGTGAGTGCCTTCAGCTTGCTTACTCATGACTTGAGAGAAGGCCAGCTCAGAGCTGCTGCAATAACAACTTGCCTCAGCACCTGGAATTTAGCAACATAAGTCTTTGGCCCCTCTCAGCTCTCCCTGTCCAAATGACGGAGGGAAAAGAAGATGGGAAAGGATTCTGAACTCCTTCAGTGTGTTTTAAAAGCCCTTCCTCAGGACAGCAGCTATTTTAAGCATTTTGGTTGCAGCTTTCCCATGACATTAACAGATGGTCAAGATAACCAGAGGCAGTCTCACCTGTCCTTGTTAAGGCTTTTGTCTTCAGTCACCAAAGCCATCATCGCCATCCTGTACATATGATCGGACACGCTCTCCGGCTTTGCCACGTTCCTGTACACCCATCCCGTCCGTGGCGTCCTCTGAGAGAGGAGAGCACCACAGCAATGAAAACGGTAAAACTTTAGGTCTTGAAGGAGCCCACTTCAGAGGCGCTGATAGAAATTTGTCCCACCATGACTGTCACACTAGGGTGAGCTTTGATGCTTCTGGGAAACACCTGCCCCAACGACCGGGCTCCCCGAGGGGGTGCCTTTGCACCGCTAATCACGGGCAAGGAGAACTCACCACCATCACCACCACCAGGCGCCCTCCTCAGCCTCAGGGTGCTCACGCCGAAGGCCCCGGCCACCCCTGCCCTGCCCCGGCCGGCGCCCACACCCTCCCGCAGCCGCCCCAGCCCCGGAGCCGGCCCTCCCCGCTCCCCGGTGGGCCGAGGGTCTGCACCCGGGAGGCCCCGGCCCTCCGCCCCGCTGCTAGGCCCAGCCGGCCGCCACCAACCGCGCCGCGAGCTCCCAGCCCGGCCATCGCTGGGGAAACCCGCCTGCGGGACCCTGCCCGCCCCAGGGGAAAGGCAGACACCCCGCCAGCCCCCGGGCCCGGCCCCCGCGCCCACCTTCAGCTGCCCCAGCAGCCGCAGGAAGGGCAGCAGCCCGCCGCCGCCGCTCGCCCCCGCCGCCATCCCACCGCTCCTCCTCCTCCTCCCGCCGGCCCGGGCGGCGGCGCTGGGCGGAGCGGCCGGCCCGGCCCCCCGCCCCGGAGCGGTAACGCGGCTGCAGCTGCGGGGGGAAGGGGGTATCTGGCTCCTCAGGATTAATTAAGCACAATCAGGGCTTTGGTAAGGAGTCAGGCTGCCAGGGCAAGGGGGAGGGCAGGGGAGGGAGGGAGGTGTGTGCTCCCCTGGGGTGGGGGAGAGGAGGAGGCCCTGCCCTGGAGGGGGGGAAGGACATGGCAGGGGGAGCTCAGAACTGCTCGGATCAGTGACCTTTAGCATACTTTTTAAAAAAAAATAAAACAAACAAAACCCACAGTAAATAGTGCAAACTTATACTTTATATAACAAACAAACAAACAAACAAACAAAAAAAAACCCCACAAAACCCAATAAATAACACAAACTCATGAAATTATTCAGAGGAGAAAAGGTGTTCAACAGCTGCTGTGCCCAGAGTTTTCAATTGAGGACCTCTGGCACCCAGCTGTAGGCACTTCCATCACTTCCACAAGTCTCACAGCACCCCCAGTTACTTTACAAATGGGAGGCTTTTCCAAATACATTGAATTTCTTTGCTACTTGTACATCTGCTCTTGCAGGCAGTTGGCAGTAACGGGTTAAATGCGGCAATGCAATACTCCATTTTCAGGAAAGAACATCTGCAGTTTGCCAGATACCAACAGATGGCAGCCTATTTTTATTTTTGCTCGTGTGTATACTTAAAACACACCCAAATTAATAATAAAGGCCAGGCAACATATTTGGTGACCATTTTAAGGCCATCTTCCCACAGACGGTGTGGTTAGTGACACCAGATGAAATGCTGAAGATCTGCAGTTCCAAGGTAACCCCGGAGGCAGGGAAATGGTTGGAAAGACCACACTAAGGTCTGGAGACCTGATGCTTCAGTGCAGAGGGATTTTTTTTTTTATTTTCCAAAGATGATTTAGCTTTTTTTTTTCTCCTCTAAAACCCCTCTGTTTTGCCACAGTGCAGAGCTCCTAGAAGTTGGGAGTTTAATTACATAGGGCAGTGATTGCAGAGGGTATCAAGCGAGCCACTGCCCGTGAAGAAAAGATGGCTTTGCCTCTGAAACGTTTTGAATTCCAGCTGGGAGAGCTGCACCTGATTTCCATCTGCTGACTCCTGCACAATCAGTGCAAGACCTGCAGATCAGCTGTGCCATCTCCTGCCCCTGTTGTGGCTGGCAGTTGTATTTTTCCTTCTGAAAGGAGCTTGACCCCCATTAGATATCACACAGGGCTCAAGTAGCAAAACACTAAGAGGCTATCTAAGTATTTGGCTCCTTTGGAAAAGCTGCTTTCAAAACTCTAGCAATGACTGACAGAAAGGGGTGTGCTCCCATCAGAACAGGGAGAGCTGATCTGCAGGAGAAGTAGGAAAGGAATGTGGGATGTAGCTGATCTGGAGTTATTAACCAAATGGAAACTGCAAGCTAGTCATGCTCAAGGCAGAATTGTAGCAATAGGGATTCTTACAATTCACACAATAGCTGTGCGCTGCGTACAAGTCCTTGCGCTGACCAAAGAGAAGCAATGGCTGCTCCCCTCTTGCGTTGAGCAAGTTGGTACAGCACCTGTCTGCCAAGAACAAGGACCTGCAGATAAAGCCTGGAGGGTTTTATAATATGGAACATGCTGAGCAGCATAAATGTCATCCCTCGTGTCCCTCTCAGATGATGCAGGCCGCCATGCCTAACACGCTCCACATAACCTGAAGTTCACATGGGGAGATGTGCCACCTGATGGGCAGTTGCTCCTGGAGGCCTCCTGGGATGGGTGGGATGGGTCTGAGGGTGGTGTGGGGCTGCTCCAGCTTAGCGGTGCACAGGTAAAATCTGCCAGCCTGAGCTGAAGGGCATGGGTGCCTCTCTCCTTCCTTCTGCCAAAGTGGTGCTGGGGCTGCACCCTGTCCCTCAAAGCCTCAAGACCGATCCACACTTTGATCTTACAATGCAAGAAAAGCAGTGCCCAACTGGTGCTATGCCATGAGTACGGGCATTCAAGACGCTAGGAAAGGTGCCCAAGGTGCGTGCCCTTCTCCTTGAGGGTAAAGAGGGCATCGAGACCCAAAAAGAGTCTAAGACACAGAAGACAGACCACACGTACAACACAATAGACAGAGGCTGGAACCGCTCTGCCCAGCACTCACTAGCATTGGGCTGAAAACTAACCCACTTCCTTTACCTGCCCAAGGGGGACTGCTCCAGGACAGACCCCTGCCCTACACTAACTTAAAAAACCCTTTTCTGCAACTGTCAGTCTCGGCCCCTCTCCCGTGCCAGTCCCTCTGCTTCGCTTTCAGAGGGGCAGGGGTCTTAATTCATCCTCAATAAAAAACACAACAAGCAGCTAATACATGATCTTCCTGCAGTCACCTCGAAAGAAACCACAGCTCCAGCAGTGAGCATCACACCAGTAGCTGTGGCATTCTGCTCACCTGCTCCACTCCCATCCCAGAGCCAGAGGCTGCAACAATTATGACACCTAAGAAATACAAAACTACCATCGCTTTTGTGCCAAATCACCAGTCCTGTGCCCCTCCTCAATACTACCCAGCGCACCTCAAATACAAGAGACTAGAACAGACCAGACCTCATGGATACCAGCATCTTACAGAGTGCACAGCAAAACCAATGAGAAAAACCCACTGTTCCATTCTTTAATAAAACTGGGAATTCCAGGAACATGCACTGCACCTGGAATAAAGAAAAATGTACTAATAAACTGTCTTGCCACCCCTGAACACTCATTACTGACCTAAAAAAGACAACCAAACAGCACACAAGTCAACTTTCTACGACACGGGCTGCTGAGCCCTGCCTGGTCCTGAAGGTCTTACCTCACACTCCTTACCTCTGCTTCTCTAAACGCCAGAGCACACCCGCCCGAGCAGCTGCAGCCGGCTGAAGGCCCAGCAGAGCACTGACCCCAGGGAAACCCAGCGGCAGAACCACCCCCCCTCAGCAGAGGCCGCGGATTAAATACCCCGAGCCCCGTCCACCACCCCCGGGGTGTCCTGGAGGACCAGCGGGGCACAGAGATCGACTTCTGGAGGACTGAAGGGCACTTCCGGTGTCCCGGAGGACCGCGGGACCATAGAGATGGAGCTCCGGAGGACTGATGGAGCCCGGCGAGAGCCGGTAACGGCCGCTCTCGGAGGTCGGACGAGGCGGCCCATAAGCTGCTGCGGGCGGCAGGGAACCCGCCCGAGCGCCGGCGGTGCCGGTTCGCCCTCGGGCCCGGCCACAGCGGAACCGCGCATGCGCCGCAGAAGGGACGCCGGGAGGCGCGGCCCGACCTGCAGCAGCGGGCTGTGGCCGCCGGGCGGCAGCACCGTCCCCGTGATCCCGCTCCGAGCCCTCATCGGAGCAATGAGCGGTGACCGGTCTCAGCCCGGTTTGTCCCATCCAGGGACCCCAGCGACTCCGCACTCGCAGCCCAGGCAGAGACATCCATCGCCTCTGCACCTAAAACCTGCGGAACAGAGGGGTTTTTGCCCCAGAAGGAGCCCCAGGGACGATGCATCGCTCTGTGTGGGGCACCGGGGCCGTGGGAGTGACAGCCACGGGTCAACCAGGTACCAGGAAGGGAGGTGGGGATGGTGTCTTATCCACAACTTAAAAATTAGTGATTTTTTGCATGAAAATGTTTGGGTTTTTCATTCCTTTCCAGCTGCACAAATCCAAGTGGATTTGGCTTTGCTGGGAGCTCCAAACCAGTTTTTTCCCGCCTCCCCAAATTGAGGGGTTTTCCCCAGCAAAGACCCAGATGAGGGGTTCAGGGATATTTTTGTGCCACAGCGGCAGGGGGAAGTTCCCCTTTGGGAATCGCTCTGCCAAAATTATCCGAATGGAAGTTACAGCCATGGAAGAGGAGTGAAAGAGAAAAGGAGGGATGAGGCAGCAGGAGAGCTCTGCAGGCTGCCACCACTCCACATCGCACTCCAGTTTTGAAACCACACACACGCGCCCCCAAAAAAGCCCCACATACCCACAAAACAGACAAAAAAACCCACCAGAACCTTGTATTTTTTTGGTCTTGTGGAGCTCGTCCCCATCTCAGCAGATTGTCTTGTCAGACAATGTCAGACAAGCGCAGACAATCTGTATCCCGAGGACATTTGCAGGTGATGAATGTGTCCAGAAATAGTCCAGATCTCTTCAGACTGGTGTAATTTTTGTGGTTTTAACAATCAGAACTCAGTTTTATTGACTGGCACATTTGGGAGGAAAGTAATTGACTTTTAAACGTAGCCCCTCCTCAGGGAAAAAATGTGTTAGAAGCTTAAAAAAAAAAAAAAAGAGATGATCCAGAGTTCCCACCCATGAAGGAGCTGTGGGGACATTAACGGAAGTGAAGACCACCAGCAGCAACATTAAAGTCAAATTTGGCTTTAATTCTGATCATGTAGTTAAGAGACCCTCCAAGTCTACACCTTAATCCTATGAAGGAGTAGTCCTTTTCTGGAACAACAGCTTTTTTTAACTTAAAAGTCCTAGGTTAATGGCTCCATGGAACAGAATGTGGATTGAGGCACAGAAAAACATGCCATTAACACTCTAAAAATTTAAAAAAGAATAAAATCAAGCAACACCTCACTTTCCATCATATTTCACTCATTACATTTCTACTGGCATCTAGGTGCTCAAAAATTAACTATACTGATACCACATACTAATGAAAATTTAGTTATGCATAGAAAAATAAAAGGCTGTTTCCAAGTCGCCCATAAAATTCTTATGAATAAACAGAAGAGAAACACTTGGCCCTAAAGAAGGTAACGGGAACTCTTAACTTATCTTAGGTGAAGGTTCATTCTTTTACCCAAAAGGAAGACAATCCTTACTACCAAGGGCCCAGCTCAGGCAGGAAGCACGCCCTGTTAACTGCAATTCCTCATCAGCTTTTCTGCAGTAGCAGCAAACTTGCCTTTTCTGCAGGTTTGATTGACATGGAGCATCTGTAGTGTCCCTGAACTCGCAAATGTTTCTCCCTGCTCCCCCAGACCCATGCGTGTGGTTACCTGAGCAGCAAGTGGAATCAGCCATACAGGATTTTCTTCCCATGCTGCAGAAGGTGACACTGAGAAAAGAGGAGGAGAGAAATTACACTGTTTGTCACACCCAGCCAAGCCAACAGGGACCAGTTCAGGGACCCCCCTCCCCACCTCCACCCTCAGGAGCAGGGCCAGGGCAGACCCTCCAGGCAGAGAGAAGCGCCTGGTGTGAATTTCATCTTGATCCCCGTCCCTGAACCCAAAGCCACACAACTCTGTCTGTTTCTGAGCCTCAAAACAAGCCCCAATAGCCTGTTTTCCAGGCCCAGGAGCAGAAGACCTGGTCTCCATGTTGGGCTCATACAGACCAAATCGGCTCATCCTCTCTCCTTCCTGACCGCCTCTGTAGCCCCCCGGGAGATACTGAGGGCCGGGGAGAGCACACAGCCCCGCACGCCCAGGGCCCCAGGGGCAGTTTAGGTAGCGCTGGGCACCTGCAGATGGCCCAGCCCTGTGTCTCTGCAGAGCGGCACCAGCACAGGCCGAGCGCCGTCCCAGACTTTCTTTCTACTGCATCGCCAGCGCCGCACCTCAACTCAACGCCAGGCCGAAGGAACCCCGGGGGAAGCCAGGCCCAGCCAGCCCTCTCCAACACTACAATGCCCCCATTAAGGCCCCTCGTTCCTCCAGCCCCCCTGAGGCACTCCGCCGTGTTCCCCGCCGCCCCCCGCTCACCTTGACACAGTCCAGCAACCTGACAGCTCACGGCGGCCCAGCCGAGGACCTAGCCGCCGGCACCCACTTTTCCCCCGGCCCGCCCCGCTCCCTTTTCAAGCTGGCCGCCATTTTCCCCCCAGGCCCCTTCCGCTTCCGGAGCGCCCCGGCCCGCCCACGCCGCGCGCCCATTGGCCACCGCCCGCCTCCAGGAACCGGCGGCGCGGAGCTGCTCGTGCGTCGTACAGCGCGCTCCTGCCCTCCCTGCCGCCGCCTCGCGGCCAAGACGCAGTACTGCGGCCGGGCAACCGCGCAGGCGCAGCGCCCCCTGCCGAGCGGAGGCCGGTGCTGCGGCCGGGCGCGGGAGGCGGGGCCGAGCCAGGGACATCTTTTTTCCCCAAGTTGGGTTTTTCGCTTTCCGTCATTACTTTGTTGGAATTTTTCAGCGCTTTTTACAACAGAAAAGTTGTCGGCTGTTTCTTTTGCGTCTGAAAACGGCCAGTTTTTTTTTTGCTTCGCGGCGGCACAAATCCAGCCTTTTCCCAGGAGCTCCAAATTGGGAATATTATTTTTTTTCCCCAAAAATTGGGTGTTTTTGTTGTTTTTTTTTTCCCCAGCACAGACCCAGAATCAGGGGGTTCTGGGTATTTTTGTGCCATGGTGGTAGCTCCCACTCGATGTCCATGGCCCTGGAGGGGGAAGTCCCCATTTGAGGGAACTGGCCCCAAACTGGGAGGGGAAAAGGAGCAGCTTTTGAAAGCGCTTTTACATCTTCAGGAGAGATTAGAGGGGGGTCGAGTTTTTAAATCCTTTCTATAAATAGGCTTTCTTTACATTTTAAGAAGTTACACTTACATATCTATGCATTTATCTATCTATTTATACATATATATGTATTTAAGGAATATATACTATCTATTTACGCTTACACAGAAGACCTGTTTAGGCTTAGATCCATTTAGACTTGTATATTAACACTCATTATACAGAACAGCTAACTTGACTAGCTATCTCTTTAGACATATATTTTGACAATTTAATATTTTTTAATAAATAAATCTTTTAAAAATCTTTTTATATTCAAAAATCCCTTATAAAACACACTCTTTTGAACTGCTTTTATATACGTAAATGATTATTATTTTTCAATATATATAAAAATGAGAGATTTTTCTCATATTTCAACGCCTCACACCCATATTTACAGATTTTATTATTTTTTAATCCCCCTCATCCATTTTCAGGCATGTTTGGGCTGTGACTCCCTTCTTTTGGGGGGAACCTCACGTGACCTCCCACCCCTCACTCACCTGCTCCTCTGCTGCATCATCACCCCCCCCAGTGACATTGGGGACCCTCAAATGAGGTCAGCCTCAGCATTGCACAGCTGTAGCAACCATTTCCATGTAATAAAAGATATTTTCTCTAGATGGTCACTCAATGTCCGTAGCACTTATTGGTGTGGAAAAGCAAAGGAGCAGGGGTATGCATTTTGATGGCTTAAAACACCAGGCCAACTCCAGATTTAAATGTAGGCTCAGTAATCCTTAGTCCTGTCCATCCAGAAAACTCAGAATCTTTATTCTTGGCATCTCCCACCTCAGTCAGCACTTTAAGACAGCAGACACAGCCAGGCAGGCCAAGAGTCCTCCAGGAGCTTCAGTAATAACCTTCCAGCCAAAAAGAAGAGGCTTAATGCTAATACGGTACATAGGGAATACACATCATGGAACTTTCTAGTTATGTAGGCTTTCTCCTGTTTTAGGACAGCTTTATAGTTAAGAAAACTGGTTATCAAGCACAAGCCCTATTGTAACTCCTGGTAGAATGAATCCACCGTGGCTCCTATTTGACTGCAGCATATACAGCGGCACAAAAAAACACCTGAAAATGTACCAATTCTTGGTTTCTGTAACCACACCAACAGGTCACAATTGGCCTGACAAAGCCGCAGCAACCCAGTTATTGATTATTGCTCATTGATCGTTTTACCTGAAAACTACTTATTACCTTTGACAAATGCGTTACTGTGTATAACGTCACACTTCTCGGAAGGTCCTCGCTCAGCACAACCCACATCCTCAGTTTCTGTCGATATACCGTGTTCATACGCCCTCCAGAAGCCGCCCGTTCCCTCAGAGGGCTGGGGGGGCGGACGGGGCGGGGGCAGCGGGTTTCCCTGCTCCGTGCGATGGTTCGGCACAGCGCCCCAGCGCCTTTCTGACACAAAGTCTAGGCCTCTTTCCTCCTCCGTTCAACCACCGCCGCAAACTGAGCCCTAGAAGAGCTGAATTTGTCAGGGCGGTACCACCCGACGCTCCCCAGCTGGAAGCCGCCGCCAGGCCCTCCCTCAGCCGCGAGGCGGCCTGAGGAGCCCGCCCTCTTCGCCGCGCTGCACTCTGGGAGACGACGTTCCCCCTCCCGCCGCGCCCCTTGCGTCGGGGACTACAGCTCCCAGCATGCCCTAGCGCGGCGGCGCCGGCGGGGTGCGCCGGGAAATGTAGTCCCCCCGCGCCGCCCGCCCCTCCTCCGGCGCGGGTGAAACCCCGTGCGGGCCGGCGCCGCGCTCTTTCGTGCCGCCGCCATTCTGCCAGCAGCAGGTCGGGGTGAGCCTCCGCTCCGCACGCCGGGCCCTGGCCACCTCACTCCGCCATGCAGATCTTCGTGAAGACCCTCACGGGGAAAACCATCACCCTCGAGGTGAGCGCCGTGGCGGCGGGAGCGCTGCCCGCTAAGGCTTCCCCCCACGCTGAGGCGGGACCCCCGGGGTGGCGCAGGCCGCGGCCCGGCCCGGCGGCAGGGCTGGGCCGCGCCCGCTCTCCTCGGTCTGTCCGTGCGGTACGGAGGGGCGGCAGCCGCCGGGGCCGGGGCCTGCGGGTGCACCGGAGCGTCGGGATGCGCGGGGGAAGGCCGGGCCGGGCCGGGCGGTGTGCCGGCAGCTCCTCACGCCGCTGCCGCGTTTCTGGGCAAACGAAAAGGCGGAGCGCGTTTTGACTCCCGTCGTTTTGTGTCGTAACAGGTTGAGCCTTCTGATACTATAGAAAATGTAAAAGCTAAGATCCAGGATAAGGAAGGTAAGGTCAAGATGCGGTTCTTGTTCTCCGTTGGATTGATGTGTGTTTTATGCAGATGTGATTGCGTGCAGCAACCTATTTTTTTTATTATAGAATGTCATAGTTCACGTTCCTCGTTTAATCTTGATTTTTGTCACCATTAGGCATTCCTCCTGACCAGCAGCGACTGATTTTTGCTGGTAAGCAGCTAGAAGATGGACGCACGCTGTCCGACTACAATATTCAAAAAGTGAGTAGGAAACACTAAAGAGGGTATCGCAGCGCCAGCTCCTGGCACAGACCTTTCCTGCTGAGCCTAAATGCTTCAGATGGATTCAACCAAATGGGGTTGGGTAGAACTTGACTGATGCTGGGACTAGAAGCGTCACTTGCTGCAGCCCAGTCTATAGTTACAGACAGAAGAAAACATTTATAGCAGCGTCCACTTCCAGTGCTTCCCTTCTGTCAGCCCTGGCCCTCTGTGGTGAGCTGCTTTAGGGGGCTAATGTGAAAATATCACAGAATCACAGAATCCTGCTCACTTCTGCCACATTAACCTGGCAGTGAGGCCAGCGAGTGCCACAAGAAAGGAGGAGCAACATCTAGTCAGTTTGGTATAGTTACATCATGAAACTGTTCTGCAGTTGTAGTTGGCACCGAGGAATCTAGTCACAACAGATTTTATAGTAATTGAACCTTTTCCTTATTTGGGATGCAACAGCCTGCTGGTCTCTGGAGCGTGTTCATTTTCCAAAAGTCCTTTTAGAGCGTTCCCAGTTGCCTGGAGCTTGCTATCTACTTCCTGTAAATAAAAAGCCTGCTACTCTTGCTTTGAGAAAGCATTTTGAGTCTATTTCATGTGTTTTACAAATAGGAATCAACTCTTCACCTTGTGCTGAGACTGCGAGGTGGTGCCAAGAAAAGGAAGAAGAAGTCCTATACTACTCCCAAGAAGAACAAGCATAAGAGAAAGAAGGTTAAGCTTGCAGTGCTTAAGTACTACAAGGTATGTAGAACTAACTCGAAGCAAAACTTGGTGAAAACTTAGGAAACCAGTAACTAGTCTGCATGTACCTTGGCATATTTGAAAATCCTTCTGTTTGCAAGTATCCCATATGTAAAAATAGAAGAGAAACTGACTGTTTCAATTGGGCACTTCCAAACTTTGCTTCAAGTTTGATGTAGTAACCATCACAAAAATTACTTTGCCAAAGAAAAATACTCAAAATTATCATCAGTACTAAAAGGTGGCAAGTATATATATGAGGTGTTGCTTCTTTGCCTTTCCCAGGTGGATGAGAACGGCAAGATCAGTCGTCTGCGCCGGGAGTGCCCCTCTGAGGAGTGTGGAGCAGGAGTCTTCATGGCTAGTCACTTCGACAGACACTATTGTGGCAAGTGCTGTCTGACATACTGCTTCAATAAACCAGAAGACAAGTAAATGTACTAGAAAATAAAAATCTGAAGTCCTGTACGGTTTAAGGATTTATTTCTGCTTCCTGTGGTACTGTATTTCATGTCTGCTGATAAGCGAGACAAATTTGTGAAACTTTGGCTGAAATACTTTGACTCTAGAACTGAAGCAGCAGCTTCTTCTGATGAGTGCCTTTGGTTAGTTAAGTCTCCTTTAAAGGAGATAATGGATAGCCATGGCAGAGGAAAAAAAAAACATTCTAGATAACCTTAGTGGTCTCTGTAAGCATGAGAGGAGTATACAGTACAGTGGTTCTAATCTGGAAAAACAGAAGATCAAGAGGTCTGAAGTTGTATGGGTCAATGCTGGAGAAAAGGGTAGTAGAGTCCTGCTATCAAAATGCATACTGAAAAACTGTATAGCAGCACTGGGGGAGAAAGATGGCTCAGCTAGTTTGGAATTAATAGATAATCATCAGAAATAGTTATACCATGATGGTTTTACACACTTGAAGTGCTTGCAGTTAATTGTTGGGGTTTATCCAGGGAGGTAAGCTGGTTGCTTGACAAGATCTAAAAGCAGAACATCATTGTATAAACAGATAGGAAGAAGCCATATGAATCTCTGAAAGTTCATTTAATGTTAAAAGCTGAAGGCCAGCCAGGAATAATACATGTCCTTTAGTGTTAACGTCTTCAAATGTATTTTAAAATCCTGGATCCCAGGAAGTTGTCTGTTGAACTTCTTTTTCTTCATAACAGATAATTTCGTCTCCAATATTGAATTCTATATACTTGTCCAAGCTCAATCCACAATCCATACCGGTTTTTATTACCTGGACATCATCTTTATGATGCTTCAGTGACGATAAAGATCCTACAAAGAGAAAGTGTGTCAAAGGAAGAGCGCCCACTGACATCACAGCATAGAAGGGTTTGGTTTGACTTTTTTACAGAATTAATGTTTTGGGCTTGTAGTACAAAATGAAAGCAAGGAAATGTAGGGATTGTGAGCATTCGGAGCTCATTAAAGCCAGACATCAGTCCTTTTCAGCAGGTAAATCCTGTGATGCTCCTGCTTCCCTGCCAGAGTGGGCGGTGAGGGAAGGGTCTGTGTAACAATAAAATGGCATTTTGCAGCTTTTTTCTAGTTGGGAGTGACTCCAGCCATCCTAAATAGCATATGGGATTGCTCTGCAATGGGATGTGTACATCCTACACTAACTCCACAGGAAACTGGCAGTGTCTAATACTGAATACAAATAAGCAAATAGACGTTTTGTGGCACTCTCACTTACCTTTCCAAATAACATTCCCATTACGGAGTAACTTAAATTTCATTTTTTTGTCTAGCAGCCCCTTCTGTACTCTGCACCCAGCTACTGGAATTTTGTTTTTTCCTACTGTTACAGAAAAGATGTCGAGAACAGAAGCTTCCCCTAAAACAAAAAAGTAAAGTATGAAGTACATGAGAATAACAAACCAGCAGTAAATACAAGCAAGCTACAGAGCATCAAATAATTGGTACAGTAAGAAGGCTTCACTGGCGAAGAAACTTTAGGCCACATTGCAAAGCAAAAAAATTAACAGTGAAAACTCACCTATTGTATTCTCGGCCACAGATGGGGGCAGTCTGCTATTTAGCTCATCTTTCAAGTCTTCAATAAGTTTGTAGATGATATTATGAAGTTTAATTTTTATTCCCTTTTTAGCAGCCAGCTGTTTAATACTGTCATTGGCTTTCACACTGAATCCAAATACCACACCTGAGAGATAAACAACAGGCAAGTGATGGCTACAAGAGATCACACTCTAAATAGAAAGTGAAAGTGTCTGCAGTGCCTATTCCATGGTGTTGGACTTGCAGCACAGGTTAGAATTAGCAGTCAGCAATACAAGAAACACAGAACCTTTTACTGTCACTTCCCTTTTAAGGAGGGACCATTTACTTCTCCCCCTGTTGCCCATCAACTGCTACTAACCTTGCATCAAAACAAACGGCTCAGAAGAACCCTCACAGAAAGCTCCCTGATGACAGAACTGGAGATACCAAGGCAGAAGCTAATGCTTACATACAGCTCACCACAGCTTAAGTACAGGGACAGGGACCTCCCATTTTGGGCTGGAGAAACAGAAACAACAGGAACTCTAAATCATTCTCATCCAAGTGTGGACTATGGCAGGTCCAATGACCCCCCAACCTCTCCAGCAGGTGAGAATTCCGGGGTACAAACGGGAACAAGTCCTGACACAGTCCTTCCAACCGCCTCCCTCAGTACAGGACATTCTTTGGTCATCTACTTTTCTAGCTTTGCCCTGTTTGAGCACCGTAAACCAACCTGAGCCAAGAGTCTAACCTTAACAAGTCAGTGACTGGCAACAGCTTGTCAGAGTCCTTCCATTTTCATGAGATTTCTAGCCTTCCTCGCCTGCACTACCATTCGATATTAAACATTTTTAAGATACACATACGTTCACCTTATTGATGTTGCTAATTATTGAGAAAACAAAACTAGAATGAGACCTACCCATTTCAATAAAGAGTTCGTACTAACTGTAAATTGAATTTTTAAACACACTCACCATTAAATGCTTCAGCAAGACTTATATCAGTTTCACTGATATCTCCCAGTCCAAAATGGATGATATCCAATTTGCACTCATCCTCAGCATCATAGCTGTCCAGAATGTTCAGAATAGCTTCTATGGATCCATCCACATCACCTGTGTGTACAAATGGAGGTGCTGCTGACTTTGTACATGGCAAAGAAACACTGAAGCAGAACTAATGGAATGACAACTCCACGCTATGCAACATAAAACCTTCCGACATCTGTCATTCTTACTATATTTTCAGTAGTGTGTTAAAACACATCTAACATGGGATGTCAAATCAAGTTCCTCCTGTACCACTTTAACCAATACATAATTGTTCTTGTCCTCCATTTTGCTGAAGCAGTACTGCCGCTCATAGAGCTTGTATTTTGGTCTTTTTTTTTTTTAAATTTTTATATATAGAGAGGCACTTGTATGGGTTTTACTCAGGAGTTCCTGGGTAAGGGGGGTTGGCTCCTACATTTTCCTGTTACTCTGGCCCTGCTGGAAGCACATCCTCCTGACCACTGGATGTTTTCTGAAGCCCCTCCTCTTACTGAGAGAAGTTCAAGAATCCCCTCAGTTTTAAACTGACCAAACTTCTGGTAACAGAAGTTTTGCTAACAGCTTAGAGCTATGCTTCAGACTGAGCATTTGAGAAGCACAAAACCAGAACAGGACATCACCTTTAACGATTACCGATAGCACATTTTTGTCCATCTCTGTTCTTTCTTTTGGCTTTGAAAACATTAGATGCTTATTGGCCTTGTACAGCACCGCCTTCCTCTGTCTCCAGGTCAGATGGGCCAGCTTCTGTTGCTTCTTCTCATATTCCATCCTGTGCTCCTTTTGCCTTGCTTCAATAACTTCCTCATCCCTTTTCATCCTCTCCTGTTGTTCCACATAGGTTCTCCAAGACACAACTTCATGCGCCCTTTGCTGGGCAGAAAGAGACAGAAACATTACCTTCCAAAGCATGGCACCAAAAGCCTCCACATTAATGTAGTTTCATCTTTTGCACCTTCTCTACAGGCTCATTCATTTTTGTTCACACTTAGCAATAGATTTCACTGCAAATGAGTGAGCACAATAGCTTCCTCCCTGGGCTATAACAGCATGACTCAAGGCTGATTTTTAGGGTGTCTCTGCATTGCAGAAGAGTAAATTATTTTTCATTCTTTATTGTGATATTTGTCCAGCTCCCACAACACCTATTTCAAGCTCTATTTTATGCATATTATTTTGTCAGAAACTAGTTCTCTCGTTCTAAAATTAAAACGCTGATATCAGTAAGTACTGGATTGTTCTCCAGGTAGGATGATAGTGCGATCATATAAAGGAAAAAGTCTTCTGTGCCTTTAGAAAGGGAACACGTTAGAACGTAACAGCAGAAGCCATTGAGGACTACAGCCACTGCAAACAAAGCCTGGAGGAAGGCAGGATGACCATGAGAAGCAAAAGCATAAACCAAAGGTGACTCATCTTTCATTCCAGAGGCAGCCTGCTTTCTTTGTGTGATTGTAAAGCAGGTTACTCCGGATGGATGCATAGAGATAAGAAGCCCAGCAGGGGAGAGGTGGGGGCAATGGGAAATAAAGAGGCAAATAAGGGAAATAGCAAAGAGGGAAATAAAAATCCTTATCCCTCTTACAGAACACTTAGCTCTCTTAACACCCATGCTCAGCCTTCATCTTCCATCAGATTACCCAGGTTATTTAGAATGAAAGCTATCACTTGTTTTTTTCTCAGCTCCTTCCCATCCACCTTACTGAGAGTAAGTTTTCCATTAAGGAATTCCTCCCATACCTCAGATTCTACTTCAAGGATTTCATCTCCCGCTGAAGGGACTTCCTTCCAGCCCATGATTTCCACTGGGATGCCTGGAGAGGCTGCCTCTACAGCTTTGCCGTTCTCATCAAACATGAAACGCACTTTTGCCCAGGTCTTCCCTGCAACCAGAACAGAGCCTTTTCTCAGAGTTCCTCTTTGGATGATGGCTGTGGTAACTGGACTAGTGAAGAGCAGAGGAAAAAAAATAACAGAAAAAGTGACTCTTCCTGTTTTCACAGTTAGTGTAGGTTAGCAAACACAACGCAGAATGTACTTGTGATCAATCACAGGCAGAACATTCGTGTGGCACATTTTATTAGAGTGGTAATAAAATTTTAAAGTCACTTGCAAAAAGCCCCAAACCTGTCCCATACTCATTTTATTTCTGCAGATCAATGCAAAAGTTGGCATTTGTGAAATCCGCGACAGACTGATTTAACGCATTAAGTGACACCCCACTCCAAAATAAGCCCAAACCCCAACAACTTTCTAGAATTCAGTTAATTTTTAAAGAGAGCAAACACACCTTGTTTAGAGAAAACCCGCAAAAGGACTAGAATATTTTAAAGAATAAAACGTCATGTTACACACAATTTGCCAAAAACTATATATGTATTATGACTGTCAACTTCATCATTCCTACTTTTTAAT